AGGCCGGGGAGACTATATATGCAAGCAATGCACACAGCGAACCCTAACAAAATCCATGCATTGGATTTTTCTACCACTGAGGTACGAGGTCCAGTCGCATATTTCGGAAATATCACACACTCAAAATATCACGCAGTTCCGTTATATCTTCACCTGAGTGCACCGCAACACCAGAAACAAGAAATATCACGAAACCACGCAATCGAACCAATTTGACCTCGTAGCTCAGTTGGTAGAGCATAAAACAAAAGGTCGCGGGTTCATTTCCCACCGCGGTCAAGCAAACTTTTTAGCTTGCTCGGTGTGGACGGCACTCAGAGCAACATCACAATATCAGCCAGTTGCTCTCCTTGCATGACAGGTACAAACAGGTACCGTAGGTTATCTTCCGGCGTGGCTGACGCAATTTTGGATTTTCAGGCGAGAGCGTCGAGTTGTGGACTGGGCCCGATATTAAGTGTACTTGCGGACAACCTCGTACCCAGGGCTTCTGCGCTTATTGCTCTCAGAAGCCCTGGGATAATCCAAACCGGAACACCATAGAACAGTGGTGCCCCCGGAAGCGGAAGTAAACAGTAGCTCCAGCTAAAAACGCTGACTGGGCATATTTTTACACGCAAGGAGCAGTGCTTCCATTTTCAAGGATATTTCCTTTTCTAAGGAAATTCTAGTGTCGAAAAGGAAAATCTAAGGAAGAGAAAATATCTAAGGAAATCTAAGGATTTTTTCCCAACAACTTAAATATTCATCCAAGTGCATTAGTGCAGAAGAATGTTTCGCTATTTCTTGAATTTTTGAGCGAATTATCAATTATGTTCAATTAAAAATCTGGTTTTAACTTTTTCCTCGTGTTTCCGAAAACTTCCGAAAGTTTTTGAGCGACAGGATTTGGTATCTTTTGGCGCCAAACGCTGTGAATTAATTATTTATATCAATGGAAAGGTATATGTTGTAAACTCACTGAACAAATATTTAATTTTAAACAGTATAATAGCCTGTGGTTTTTTAGCTAGCAATTATCTTTGTTAATTGTGCTATTTTGTGCCTTTAAAATTGATTAAATCCTTTGTATTGCTACAAAAGCACTGCAAAGGTCTGCAAACCGCCTAATGAAATTTCAAGGAATTTTCAAGGAAATAACGTATACAATCTAAGGAATTTAGAGAAATTTTGATGACAAAAATGAGAAATTTTGATTTTGAAAATG